ACTTCAAGTCACAAAACACTCCGCTGTGACGTTGACTTTGAGAGACGTAGCTCCACATTTTCCCTCAGTCACAAACTGCAATTTTACTTTTAATAAATCCAGGGAGTCGTCGGGCCGAATCTGAAAAGTGGTGGGCAGCAATTAAGAAGTGAAGGCTGAAATTAATGATGGAGAAAGTCATGTTTGATTGACCTCCAGTAGTGGGAGTTTTCCCTGGTATGGCGCTGCCGGTGATTAGCATGTTTCAGTCGTTCGGGTTAATTAAGAAGTCTGCCAGAAAAGTATTTTTCTCTTTTTTAATGTGGAGGAGCTGCCCTCACTCACATTCACAGTTTCATTACAGAGAGTGAAGTGATATTCCTCACACCCTGTGGATCCCGTTAAAGAGTTAATAACGCTATCAGCATCGACTGGATATGTCTTTGTTCGGTACTCCCCCAGGCTCTGGTGTTGCAGAGAGTACAATACGAAATATAAGTGGACAATCAACTCCTTGCATCGGTCATAAAATGACTGAAATTATATCTTGGAACACACCTTTTACAAGCTGAGCCTTTATCTCGCTCTCAGTTGTGATACGCTGCCAGATTTCTTTTCTTCCTGCTTGCTGACTCTGCCTGTGATTATACCGTACCACCAGCTATTGTAAATAGCGTTCCTCCTGAAGGGCCAGGGTTCTACCCAGAACCTTCTAGATAACCCTTTGACGAATGGTTCTAGGTGTTACCTGTTACGTTGGGTTCAGGGTGGAACCTTTGACGAATGGTTCCAGGTGTTACCTGTTATGTTGGGTAGAGGTTGGACCATTTGACGAAGGGTTCTAGGTGTTACCTGTTACGTTGGGTTCAGGGTGGAACCTTTGACGAAGGGTTCTAGGTGTAACCTGTTACGTTGGGTAGAGGTTGGACCATTTGACGAAGGGTTCTAGGTGTTACCTGTTACGTTGGGTTTAGGGTGGGACCTTTGACAAAGGGTTCTAGGTGTTACCTTTGACGAATGGTTCTAGGTGTAACCTGTTATGTTGGGTAGAGGTTGGGCCATTTGACGAAGGGTTCTAGGTGTAACCTGTTATGTTGGGTAGAGGTTGGTCCATTTGACGAAGGGTTCTAGGTGTAACCTGTTATGTTGGGTAGAGGTTGGTCCATTTGACGAAGGGTTCTAGGTGTAACCTGTTATGTTGGGTAGAGGTTGGGCCATTTGACGAAGGGTTCTAGGTGTAATGCTCTAATAGGGTTCCAGGTGAAACCTTCATAAAAAGGTCTACCAGCAACCAAAGAAGGGTTCCATTCTGTGAGCAAGTCGGATGGTTTTAGCTGGAACCTTTTATTTCTAATAGTGTGTGACATTCTGCTTTTGACAGCATTTCCTATTGAATTTCACTCGAGGGATCTTGTTTCTTTTCTGAATTACTTGTGTCTGAGCGTCTGCTTATCGTCTGTCGACACATGTTGTTTTGTCCGGTGAGCAGCTTCGTCTGAATCTCTCATCTGCTGGGAAAAAAAGAGACGCCGGAGGTCTGTGTATTCACTCTCTAGTCCTCAAGGTGTTTAGTGCCTAAATAACAATTACATTACTGTCACCATATTTGTATCCCACAGCAATTCAAAGGCGAAACGAGAGGATGTGAACCGCTTCCAATTTTCTTTGTGAAAGGCTGTGAATATTGGTTCTCTGGCCTCCCGCTGCGCACAGAAACAATGTCAATACAGAGCAATTTGTTTTCTATTTGCAAGTCCACCTGCGTCTCCGCTCAGGTCACCTTAATCACAGTCTATTCATCCCATCCCCTTCCGACCTTTTTAAAAAATGCCTCTGAATTGACTTTGTCCTCCCTTTTGAGGGGGGCAGCCACTTGCACTCCTTCACTCAGAAGTCTATTTTCATTCTAATGGATAGATTTTGAGAAACAGGCATGACAGTCGAGTCTAACGTGCATCAAAGCGTTTTCACAGAAGGTGTGTCCACCCCCCTTATTCTAACCAGTGTTATTAAATGGGGTCAGTGGGAGAACAACACCAGCAAAGAAGAGATAAAAATATTTTTATCCTCAAGAGCCTTTTTTTCTTCATAACGTTTGAAGAGGAAAAGTCTCTTCAAATAAAAGCCACTTAATGTGTTCTGGTGTATTCTCAGTCTGAAGTGGAGATGGAAAATCTGATTTCACTGACATTTTGAAAGTGACAAGTGTTTTTGAAGATTCTCTGCATCTGTTTCCATTAAAACCCCTGAAAGTATGAACTCGCCATGTAAACAGTTTACTCAAACTGAATTCAAACTGAATGCTTCACATTGTGGTTTCTGTAGGAGTCTTTATACCTTTCCAAGACATGACAATTCAGACTTGACTGTTTTACTACAGAAGAATTCCAACAACCGGACAGGAAAACCAGTAAGGGAGCAAATAAATGATGGTGAGCTGCATCCATAGGTGGATGGTCCACCATAGGTGGAGCCATAGGTGGACCATCAGTCACTAAATGAACATCATGCTGTATTGAAGAAGACTTGAAACTAGAGACTGAGACCATGAACTCATGTGTACAATGTTTACTGAGGGAATAAATCAAGAGAGAAGAGTCTTTTTCTCATATACTCCTGGGGGACAATGTGGGGAATGCCGGTTTTACCATTGACTTCACTTTTCAGAAGGATTGCCTTCCCATTTGGATTCAACAAAATGACACAATGAAAAAACGAACCTTTAGAGCCGCTTCAGTCCAAAAAGTACTCGTTCTTAGAGGTAACGTGTCACAATGTGACACGTAGGGTGTTTGTCAGTGGAGTCTGTGGATGGTTTGGATTTGTTTGTGTGTGTTGAGGTAGGAACCACCGTCATGCAGTCAGCCCGACTCAACACTGACACTCGGTGAGAGTTAAACTCTCCAGGGGTCGCACATCAGTCCCAAAGGCCCGAGCCGTGCTGCTGGTTTCCGGGATTCTTCATTCCCTGAAGATGCTTCTCTGGACATATTTTGTTTCTCTTCCTCTGCGCTGGAAAGAAGTATCAAAGGTCAACGGCCTGCTCTTCTGTCACTTTATCTTGTCTGTGTTATCAGATCATAAAAGCTCAGCAGCCTCGCAGCAACAACATCTTATTTTCACCTTCAGGAGCCTTGCTGGGAAACATTCCCCCCCCCAAAAAATCTGTATTTATTTGTGCTTATTGAAGTTTCTTTTCTGTGTTTAACAGCAATTTGTCGGGCGTGAATCACACAGAGAGGGCAGCAATCAATCGTCACACCGATTCCCGTCCACCCACCCACGGCTGACCCGGCGCGTCGCCGTGTTATCTCGGCTTTTCCCAGCAGCATTAGAAGGAATTAACCACATTCCACCTCTCACAAAGACAGCAGCTCTTCCTGTTTGGAGCTGATCCGAGAGGACGACGCCGGCACCGGTCCCAGCACGCCTGGTGAAACCGCCACAGAAGGACTATTTCACGTTTATCCTCTGCATCACTTTAATCTGACTCCACGCGTTCCCACAGCGTCACAACCACCGCGTGTTATTCTGGCGCGATGAACCGTCTTCTCCGTCCAGTACACACACATAACATAACACACAGCGACTGGGAGCTAAGAAAACCCAATAAAACTTCAATTGAATTGAATAATTCGGTTTTGGGTTATTTAGGTCGATACCTATTTATTAAAGGTGTCGAGTACCAACAGCCAGCCTCATTATACGACTGTATTGACGTTAGCAAGCAAAGGAGACACCAATGTGTCCTCTTATCTCCCTGCGGCCTTTTCTTCACGTTCATGCTCCCGAACTCCCAACGAGCGCGTTTAACGATTTGTACGTCGTACTCGAGCATCATTGCGTCTGCTGTGAGGTCGTATGTTTCGTTGTGTATTTACGGAGGCTAAACTGTACGTAAGTTCTTAACGTAGGTTAACGGAACACCAGGAGTCTCCTGGGTGAAAGTCCTGTGTTTCCATTTGGACAAACCGGGGGACTTAAAGCCACGAACCAGCCGGCCGTATCAGACAAACTGGGAGTAAGAGCGTACTGAACAGAGCAGAACAAGCGTCTATGCTAAGCTACGCTAACCGGCTGCTAGCAGCGGAGGACAGACATTGAATGTGGCATCGATCTTCTTGTGCAGGATGTCAGAATCGTTGTCTGACCCGTTCTGTCTTTCCCTCGTGTCTGTCGTCCCCGTTTGTTTTGCTTTGCCATGTGCTCGTTGTCTCTGTGTCCTTGGTCCCGCCTCCACACGCCGCCCATTGCCACACCCCCGAGCAGACGAGGACTCGTCAACGCCTCTATTTCAACCCTGGTGCTGCAGGCTCGGGGTGTCCGACTGCTTCGTCTTCCTCTGCCTGACCTTGTGACTGACTTTCTCTCTCCGCCTGTAGACTTCCAGTTCCCCACTGGCCTCCGACGGCGAGCCACGCGACTCACGCCCAATAAACTTGGGAGCCCTGCACGGGCTCCTGAGGTTGCATCTGGGTCCAAATTCTTGTTCCCCCGTGTCACAGAAGCATCTTACAAAACGAGTCGCTTCTGCAGTATTTGACCAACAACACATCCAGTTTTATTCTTTCTTTGGCTACTTACACCAACACGTCCGTAGCCAGGAGACAATCAGTCCAGTAGTTTGGGTGGTAAAAACCAGAACACGGCCATCGAGCTCACCATAGATGTCAATGTACAAAAGGTTTAATGCTGCGCGTGAGGTGCGTTTTAAACATCAATGAGACCCCCCCCCCCCTCCTAACACTTTTCAGATTAAACCGCGATTAAAGTTCACACAGTAAACAAGTACAAGTTATTCTCTTATTTCTTGCTGCTTTGAACTCTGACTCACCATCTGTAGTCCGACTGCTGCACAACGCAAAGATGGAATTTACCAAAAGCCACACCCAAACACCCGCCACTACGGAAACCCCATTCTTGGACCCTAAAATCTAGGACCCGATAGGCCTCAGAGGAGACGTCCCATAGTCGAACGTCCTCAGAGATGACGCCTCATGGGCCGGGTCCATCGCCGGGGCGTCCACACGGGGGCGTCCACACGGGGGGGCGTCCACACGGGAGCGTCCACACGGGGGGCGTTGCCGAGGTCGTCGTCCGGGGCGATTCCAACCCGTAGAGCGAGAACGACGGCATACAGGGTCATGTGACGATACTAGTCCTCTTCTCAACAACAACACGAAGAGGAACATTGAAGGTGCTTCGATATTCACTCTAATATGAAGTATAAACAGGAAGTTGCACAATAATGTAATGAGATACAGACTTCTCTGCTGGGGGGGCTGCACAGGTCACATGAGGTCCGCTGGTCACGTTGGAACGTTTAGCCGTAAAATGTGCCGTGAAAGATCTTTTTTTTGATGGAAGAACAGACATTTGTTTTTTTTTACAGTGTTTGGCGCCATTGGCGTGCGGTGCGACTCGCCCGTCTAACAGGACTGCGCCTCGATCTGCGGCTGCACCGACTGTCTCTTGGGACACAGTATCTTGGCGAAGGCCCTGCGGAAGCTGCTGTGGCACAGCGGGTAGAGGAACGGGTTGATGGCCGAGTTCAGCCACAGGAGCCAGAAGGTGACGTCGTACCAGTGGTTGGCGACGCACTCGCCGCTGCAGGCGGCGCGGATGATCATCAGGAGCGTGTAGGGAGCCCAGCAGATCCCGAAGATGCACACGATGATGGCCAGAGACTTGGCGATCTTCTTGTCCCGGGAGAGCCGGGACGCCTGCGTCCTCCGGCCCGGCGCCGAGCAGGAGGCGGAGTGCCGGAACAGCCGCGGGTTCCTCCGGTCCGGGGAGAACTTCTCCGTCCTCATGAAGATCTGCGTGTTGTCGGCGTCCCCGCAGGAGGACGGGGACAGCGCGTCGGCAATGTCCTCGATGACCGCCGAGATGGCGGTGGGCTCGGTGGACGACACCTTGCGGGTCTTCACGAAGGACACGGAGCGTCCCGCCCCGTCTCGGTGGCGCCTGGGGACCCGTTGCGCCCTGACCTCCTCCTCCTCCTCCTCCACGCCGGCCCCCACAGTCTTGGTCCTCTGGTGGATGTTCAGGTAGATGCTCAGGTTGAAGAACGCCACGGACACGAAGGGGGCGAAGAACTCGAAGGTGGAGGCGCTGAGCAGGAAGTACCAGGTGAAGTAGAACTCGGCGTAGCACTCGTGCGCCGGGACGACGCTCTGGCCGACGGCCGCCTCCCAGAAGATGATGGCGGGGCCGTAAAGGAGGAAGGCCAGCGCCCACACCGCCACCATCTTGAAGACGGCCGGGCGGGTCATGTTCCGCTGCGCCCGGTATTTGACCTGCGTGGAAAGTCACAGCCATGAGCTCCGCCCACCACACGCCACACCTCACAAACGGTAAATTCTACTGCAACGTAGCTCTTTTTTAAATGTTGCTTTCGTCCGGAATACTTTTCTTCTTACAGTAACAGTTTGCTTCAAACCTTTTGCTAAAAAAGTGCTGCAGCTGAAATGAAAAAGTGTTTATAATTTATTTATTACGGCCTTGAACACCTGAAAACGAAGCCGAGCTTGTATGACGAGAAGCTGTAAATTAACTCCTGACTACGCCGTGTGTCACCGACGCCAGATAGAGGGGGGGGGGAGGCAAGGGGGGGAGGGGGCTGTCAGGCTAAGAGCCACCGTCACTGATGCGAGTGTGAAAGAGACATCTGGTTCCTCTCGCTCTCTCTCTTCACCTCGCGGTCTAAACTGTGTCATTAAGCTGCTCTGTTCACTCTTTTATCTGTTTGTGCTGTTGTTCTTCTTCTTGACGCGACGACGTCGCTCTGCAACAGCTGTGCTTCTCACACGCGCACATACACACACATGTATACATAAATGTACATATACACACATATATACACATGTATACATATATGTACATATACACACATATATACACATGTATACATATATGTACATATACACACATATATACACATGTATACATATATGTACATATACACACATATATACACATGTATACATATATGTACATATACACACATATATACACATGTACACATATACACATATATGTACATATACTTATATACACATGTATACAAATATGTACATATACACATACATACACATGTACACATATATACACATGTACACATATATAAACATCTACACATATATGTACATATATACTTATGTACACATATATAGACATATACACACATGTACACATATATAGACATATACACACATATATGTACATATACACACATGTACACATATATGTACATATACACACATGTACACATATGTACACATATATAGACATATACACACATGTACACATATATGTACATATACACACATGTACACATATATGTAAATATACACACATGTACACATATATGTACATATACACACACGTACACATATATGTACATATACACACATGTACACATGTACACATATATACAGATATACACACATGTACACATATATGTACATATACACACATGTACACATATATGTACATATACACACATGTACACATATATGTACATATACACACATGTACACATATATGTAAATATACACACACGTACACATATATGTACATATACACACACGTACACATATATACACATATACACACACGTACACATATATACACATATACACACACGTACACATCTATGTACATATACACACATGTACACATATATGTACATATACACACATGTACACATATACACACACATACACATATATGTACATATACACACACATACACATATATGTACATATACAGACATGTACACATATATGTACATATACACAGACGTACACATATATGTACATATACACACACATACACATCTATGTACATATACACACATGTACACATATATGTACATAACAACCTTCTCTGAGCGATAATAATAATGAAACATGTCAAACGTTCATTATAAAAGCAAGTCTTATAAATCCAGCTGTCTACACATTAACAATGAATACATGAATAAATGATATTTTCTGCTGAGATCAAAGCTTAATGAAAGGAGATAAAAGCGCTGACTCCGTACATTTATCTCTGTGACAGGAGATGATGAAATGATCCGCGTGGACTGAATCCTCGTCCAGTGGACGTCTCGTCGGGGACGTTTATTCCAGAGAGCAATTTGACAATCGATGTAGAATAACTGGCTGCATTTTGTGCACCGAGTGAAACAAACAGTGATGATTGTCAGTTTTTAATGAAAGTTTTAAGAAAATAAATGTTGGTTTGTTGTGGTTGAAACTGCTCTCCACCTGCGACCACGTCCACACACACACACACACACACACACACACACACACACACACACACACACACGCAACATTGACCTCAAGTTTCAACCTTCAGGGGTGAAAAAGGCGGGATGACTTTGTGTGGATCGTCGAGCAGAACGAGCTGAAAGAATGAAGCGTATTGAAGCGGCGAATGCAAAATGAAATGCGCATCGTTTCCGTTTGTGGAGACAAAATGCGTTATTGTTTTTTAATGAGCCGGGAATGAAGAGGACGCGAGGAACGAAGAGGACGCGGCCTCCTTTGATTCGCCAACGCATCGCGGGTGTCTTTAATTGTCTCAGATGTTCAGACGTGGTGCAGATAACCGGCTCACCGTTTGTGAACCAAAGCGGAGCTGCAGCTTTGACGTCCTCCTGCTCGTCTCTGCATCGGGACGCGTTGGCGTTTACACAACGAAGACCACGTGCTCGGTTGGGTCCGCCCACTTGTGAAGTCTGAAGACTCTCTCACATCAGGAGAATCTGTGTTTCTCTGTGTGCCTCCAATAAAGGCATCGACCAATCGTGTTCATCTCCTTCCCAACTCAGCTGTCACAATAAAAGAAGAGCCGACGCTCTTTGGCCGTTGGCTTTTATTGCTCGTGCGCCCTGATGATCATTGTGACATCTTTCCTCCTCTCCTTTACAAATATTATTATGGTCTCTTAAGGAAGGTTATTCTATTGTTTCAGTTTTAGTTTATTTAATTTAATTTAATAATATTTCTCTTATTATACTATACTATCTTTCTATTCTATTTTCTTCCCTGTACATGCTGCTGTGATACCAACATTTCCCTCCTGAGGGATCAATAAAGTATCAATCTATCTGATGTGTGAAGGCCTTTATTCCCAGCTCCTTGTCCCACATTGTCCCCAAAGGGACTCAGTAGCCTCCATCTCCCCTTTAGAAGCCCAGATTGTCCCGATCATTTCACCCCATCGATATCGCTCATCTGTTTGTAAAGTTGCTCCACATCGACAAACCGTTTCCTCTGAGCGTCGCTTGATTTGTAAAAAGATGGAGTGGCCTCGTTTTAACGGTGTTGGATTGGTGCTTGTGGGCGGCATCCTAAACACACACACACACACACACACACACACACACACGCGTGCACATGCACACACACACTTTATCAGACAACTTCCAATCGTCATGGAACCGAGCTGTGAACGTCTACGACTGCAGAGCACACTGCACCGAGGGGACACCTTTACCTTCTGCAACTGACTCCGTGTGTGTGCGTGTGTGTGTGTGCGTGTGTGCATGTGTGTGTTAATGAGCACCTCTGGCGCCCGTACTTACCGCTCTCGTGACGGACAGGAAGCGGTCGTAACTAATGAGGACGATGTTGAAGACGGAGGCGGTGCACAGCAGGTAGTCCATGATCAGCCACACCTTGCAGACCCCTTTGCCCAACATCCACCGGCCCGTCAGGTTGTACGGGATGTACACCGGGATGCAGAAGGCACCTGGAGCACCGCACGCACACACACACACACACACACACATGCACGCACACACGACGACGACATGCACGCACACACACACACACACACATGCACGCA